CCCCCCCCCCCCGTATGACTTATGTATTAAACCCATCAATAAGCTTCAAAACTGACAACCAAGGTCAAAATGACGAATGAAGTAAAGACATTCATCTAATGTTTATGAAAAGTAAGGCAAGGTTGTCTAAAGGTGAGGGGAGTGGGGAAGGGTAATGATATTTCTAGTATTCCCAGTACTGTCCATCGCCACAATACAAAGCTCCCACTATTCAGAGATACGAGTATGTTTTCTAGCTGGACTACAGTTCCTTGCCAAAATACACACTACGCATAGTCTAACACAGTCTGTATCTGTTAGACTGCTGGGGTAGCCACTGAATCCCGGCAGCACACGGAAGTAGTGTCCTGTCATGAAAGAGTGCAACGTGTCAGTCGGCTTGGGAGTTTCTGGAACGCCAGCAACTGCAGCAAATCATCACTCTCCAACATGTGGGCCCTGAAATCTGAGTTGGGGGCAGGGGTGTCCCTCTTCCTTTTTTTCACCACTTTTTTTTTTTAAGTGGGGGCAGGGAGGATTCGGAAGCAGACTAGATAATGAGGTTCACTTAGAGATAGATAGGGAACTCTAGGCAACCCAGAGTCCCTTGGGATAGGATGCTACTTTGCAGGCAAGAGGAATAAGTTTCCTTCTCTGTAATCTACTCCTTGACACTGAGGACAGTCATTGTTTGCTCGCGGAAAAGGCTACCTGCGCTCCAATGCCCGTGCCCCACTCCTAATTACAAGTGCCCTCTGGGGTTGGTACGTTGGAAATCCAGCCAGAGAACCAAAGGCCGGTCAGTGCCCACGCGAAAGGCAAGCACTGGCCAGCGGGGGTTGCCCTTCCTTCCCCGAGCCTCGCAAATTAGTTCTGGAGGGGGGACGGCGATGGAGCCGGCGGGGGGCGGGCAGCACTTACCCCCATTCACCCCTATGGACGGCTTCAGTTTGGCTCCGGCGATCGCCAGCACTATTCCGATCATGAACCATTCTTTCCTCAGCCTCTCCAGCAGCCTCATGTTTGTTAGGGTGGGTGGGTTTTGTTTATTTGTTTGGCTTTTTTTCTTTTCAAGCTGCGATCGCTTAATCCCCGGGGCGTCTCCAGACTTTCCTCGGTCCCTCCAGACATGCAGCAGAGAAAGTCAAATTGCCACTTGTAAACTAAAGACCTGGGGGTTGCTCCGGCGGTTTGGAAGCGGGCTGGGAGTAGTAGTATCCAGTGACAGGAAAGTCTCACAGAGCGCCGCCATCACTACCACGCATCTTGTAATAGGCGCGCACAACGCGCCCGCAGCCCCTCTGGCCGTGGGCTCGCAAGAGCAGATGCTCCGAAACAGAGAACCCAGGCCAGGCCAGCAAGCGCGAGGGATCCGGGAGGGGAGACTGGCCGCCGGGAGAGGTGGACAGACCCACGGCCACCGAGACTTGCGGAACCTTCTGAATGACAGGGGCAGGAAAGCGTCGTGAGATGCCACAGCCGCTCAGCCTTAACGAGGGTCCCGCTCCAACAAACCTTTAGGCACAGCCCCACGCGTCCCTGGAGCATATACTCCCCCACGGAGGGCCTCTCCTTTGCTCTGCCATGGTCTCGCTGGAAGGACTGGCGTGTTTGTGCTTGGGGCAAGGAATTTCTCTGTTGGCGCCCCGGCAGCAGCATGCAGGTTTTTTCTGGGGTGCGCTTGCTTGAGGCATTACGGCGCTTCCTCGACGCCAGCGTTGACGTGTGCGCGGGAGGGAAGCGGCGGCCACTCAGTCTTCGGGTTCCCAGCCTGAGCCGTGCGAGTTAGAGGCGCACTGGGTCCGCGCGGGAAAGCGGTTCGCTGGTTGGCGGGAGCTTTAGTCCTGGCTGTGGGTTGGAAATCGGGCGCCGGGCAGACGCCCACGTTCACGAGACCCCAGCTTTCCAGCGTCCGCTGCCATCCGAGAAAGGCGGGCGGGACGCTGCCAGGTCGGTCGCCTGCGGGTGGACGCGCGGCCCGGACCTCCCCCCACCACATCTGACCCCCCCCCCACACACACACCATCTACCCCCAGGAGTGGGAGAATTGCAAGCGGGGCCAGATCTTCCTTTGGGGCGCTGAGTGAGCGTGGGAGCCTTCTCCCCTCCAAGAAGCCACCCCACCCGTGGGCGGAGTGGGGGCGGTGCTGGCGAATCCCAGGGCGCGCAGGGGCCGCGCCCGTTGACCCCAGAGCTGACCCACCCGAGCGGCTGGGAAACCCTGGGAAGGAGATCAGGATTCCAAAGCAGAAGTGGCGAGGGATCCAGCCTGAGGGCTAGGGGTTCCGGCCTTCCATGACCTCCCTTGCTCAAGCCTATCTGTCCTCCCGTTTTATTCCTTGAAGTGTTTTGTGGCGACCAGTGGCATGGATGGTTTCATGAATGAAGTTTCTACCGGTAAACCTTGCCGGAGCATCAGCTTCTCCCGATGATGCACCCAGATAAAGAAATCACTCTGTGGTATTTTGAAGTAGCCTGGCATCTGCCACTTAAATGGTTAGTTAAATGTGGAACTTAAAGCTTGGAAGGGATTGTTTAGCAATGCCAGACCTTAATTCTGAGTTTATTCAAGGCGTGAAAGAGACTCATGATGTAATTTCCTCTGTTTAATTTAGGTTTGTCATCATGACATGACTTGCTATCCAAAACTAAGCTACGGTAAGCAATTGTGCTCCCAGGTATAGGTTCCACAGTACCAAGTGCCATCTGGCAACATAAAGAAAAGTTGCAGCCGGGCTCGGTGGCTCAGCCTGTAATCCCGCGCCTTTGGGAGGCTGAGGTGAGTGGATTGCCTGAGCCCGAGGGTTCGAGACCCGCCTGGGCAACTTGGCGAGACCTCATCTCTACAATAAATCAAAAAATTAGCCAGGCATGGTAGTGCCCGCCTGTAATTCTGGCTACTCGGAAGGCTGAGGCGGAAGGATCACCGGAGCCCAGCAGGTCGAGGCTGCGGTGGCCGTCTGGGCGACAGAGTGAGACTCCAACTCAAAAAAAAAAAAAAAAGAAAAATTGCTCTGGGTGAGTCAGTGAGTGGGTGGTGAGCGAACATGGAGGACATTACACAGCCGTAGACTTTATATACACTGTACTCTTAGGCCGCACTATATTACAAAAATTTTCTTCAATAATAAATTAACCTTCACTTACTGTAAAATTGTAATAAACAGGGGAAAGCATACTCTATTCAATAAACGGTGCTGGGAAAACTGACTAACCATATGCAGAAGACTGAAGCTGGATCCCCTCCTCTCATTCATACAAAAATTCACTCAAGAGGGGTTAAAGACTTAATTGTAAGACCTCAAACTATAAAAATACTAGAAGAAAACCTGGGAAATACTCTTTTAGACATCAGCCAAGGCAACAAAGTCATGACCAATTCCTCAAAAGCAAATGCAACAAAAATAATAATTGACATTTAGGACCTAATTAAACTAAGGAACTTCTGCACAGCAAAAGAAACTATCAACAGAGTAAACAGACAACCTACAGAATGAGAGAAAATATTTGCACACAAATATTTGCATCTAACAAAGAGTCAATGTTCAGAATCTATAAGAAATTTAAATCAACAAGAAAAAAAAGCAAACAACCTCTTTGAAAAGTGGGCAAAGCATCAAAAAAGGACTGTTTTTTAAAAATGTGGTACATATACACAATGGAATATTACACAGCCATAAAGAAGGACAAAATTATAAACTTCACAGCAACTTGGATGGACTTAGCGTCTATACTACTGAGTGATCTATCACAGAAACAAAGAACTGAGTATCAGTGTTCTTACTCATAAGTAGACCTTGAACAATTATTGTAACACTATAAGAAAAGGATTGGCAGTAGTGGGAAACTGCCAGGGTAAGGGGGCACACCTCATCAACAAGGGTTCCTGCATAATAAACACTTGTATATCTAACCCTGAATTGCACCCCACATCTTTAAAATAAAAAAAAATTTTTTTTGAGTTGGAGTCTCACTCAGTCACCCAGACTGGAGTGCAGTGGCATACTCCCAACCACTGCAGCCTTGACCTGCTGGACTCTGGCGATCCTTCCACCTCAGCCTTCCAAGTAGCTAGAACTACAAGCACACGCTACCATGCCCGGCTAATTTTTTTTTATTTATTGTAGAGATGAGGTCTCGCCAAGTTGCCAGGGCGGGTCTCGAACCCACAGGCTCAGCAATCCACTCACATCTGTCTCCCAAAGTGCTGGGATTACAGGCTGAGTCACTAAGCCCAGCCAAAAATTTTTTTAAAAAAAAAACAAGTGGACAAAGGACATGAGCAGACAGTTCTCAAAAAAGACATACAAATGGTCAACTAGCATATGAAAAAATGTTCAACGTCACTAATCATCAGAGATATGCAAATCACAGCCACAATGAGATACCATCTCACACCAGTCAGAATGACTTTTATTTAAAAGTTAAAAATCAACAGATGTTTGCAAGATTGTAGAGAAAAGGAAATGCTTGTACACTGTTGATAGGAATGCAAACTAATTCATCCCTGTGGAAAGCAGTTTGGAGATTTTTCAAAGAGCTAAAAATAGAATTACCACTGGACTCAGCAATCCCATTACTGGGTATATAACCAAAAGAACATAAATCTTTCAAAAAGACACCTGCACTCATGTTTATTGCACCACTGTTCACAATAATGAAGTCATGGAAGCAGCCTAGATCCCCATCAGTGGTGGATTGGATTTTTTTTTAAATGTGGGCTATTGCCTTGCTAATGTGACCATGTGCTCTTTGAGCTATGGCTATCACCATGCTTCCTGGCTTTGGCCCTTCCCCACCTTGGGGAGGTGAATCTTCTCTCCCTTCTCTTTCTCTCTCTAATTTACTTTTAAATAAACTATATTTTTTAATCTAAAAAAGTGGTAAATATATACCATGAATACTGTGCGGCCATAAAAATGAAATCACGCCTTTTGCAACAACATGCATGTAACTGGAAGCCATTATCCTCAGAAAATTAACCCAGAAACAGAAAATCAAATATTATATACTTGTAAGTGAGAGCTAAACATTGGGCATACAGACAAAAAGACACTGAGTACTCCCAAAGGAGAGAAGGAGGGAGGGGACAAGAATTGAAAAACCACCCGTTGAGTACCATGTTCACTGGGTGAGGGGGTCAGTAGAAGCCCAAACCTCACAATCACTCAAAATACCAATGGAACAATTCTGTACACATACTCTTTGAATTCAAAATTTAAAAATAAATATACTTAAAAAATTTTTTAATCATTTGTAATAACACCTAAATGCTATACAGCTGTCCAAAAATATTTTCTTTTTTATAACTTTATAAGCCTCTTAAAAAATTACTTTTTAAAGGCTTTAGAAAAAAGAAAGACTAAGACACAAACACATTAGCCTAGGCCTACACAGGGTCAAGATTTGAACTTCTTTCTTTCCACCTCTACATCTTGTCCCACTGGAAGGTATCCAGGGGCAATAACAGGCACAAAGCTGTCATCTCCTATGGTAGCAATGCCTTCTTCTGGCATAACTCCTAAAGGACCTGCCTGAGTCTCTTCTTGAGAAGTGGTCACTCTTCTCAGAAATATGTCCATAGTGGTTTGCTTCCTTTTTTCATCATAGATCTGCATGAGTAGCGTGTTTGCTGTAACATTACAATGATTATGTCTTTACTAGGAAATAGAAAATTTTCAGCTTCACTTAACTCTTATGGGAGCACTGTCATTTACCAAAACAACATTATATGACACATGAGTATAATAAAATAGAAAAATTAAGTAAAATAAGAGTTACTTGAATACAAGCACTGTGATAAAGATAGTGGATCTGATAACTGAGATGACTAAGTGACTAAGGTCAGGTATCATCTACTGGACAAAGAGAGGATTCACATCCTGCATGGGACAGGATGAGATTTTTGTCATGCTACTCAGAGCAACTCACAATGTAAAACTCATGAATTGTTTATTTATGGAATTTTGCCTTTAATATTTTGGATTGTGGTTGATGCAGGTAACAAACTGGAAAGGGAAACTGAGGTTAAGAAAGGACAGCTGTACATTTGCATGTCTCCTTTTCCAAATTACATAACTATGTTGTGTTGAATAGTGTCAGATTCATATTTTCCTGGAGACTCAGAATTTGACCTTAGTTAGACAGGGATGAATTAGTTTGCATTCCTATCAACAGTGTACAAGCATTTCCTTTTCTCTACAATCTTGCAAACATCTGTTGATTTTTGACTTTTTAATAAAAGTCATTCTGACTGGTGTGAGATGGTATCTCA